TCTTATGTCCAAAATGGTTAAACAGATCTTGATGAAATTTGACACAGATCTACAATAATCTGGAACACATAGGCTTAAATATAAAAAAAAATATTTAAGCTAATTTCTACTTTTTACGATATATTAATATAAATTGGATTTAATTAGATATTCTATTAGTCAAGGGCTTTCATTTAACACTCATATTGGTGGGATTGTGCAAAACATGTCCGCCCCGCCATCTTGGATTTACTCAAAAAATTTTAATATATTTTTTTTATATCACAAGGTGGCAAACGAGCGAGCGGCCATCTGAAATCGCTGAAATAGCGAAGTGACCGTTGCCCATAGACATATGCAATTGCATATGCGTTGTCTACCTTTAATCCACGGAGGAGAGGATGCACAGGAAGAAAGTATTTTCCCTTTCCATGCATCCTCTCATCCGGAATGTCCACTTCCACTTCCCATCCTTTCCTTATTAGAGAAAAAGAGTGGGTAGGGAAAAAGGACTAAATTAGGCCTCCGGGACGCACACTAATCAGACGAAACGCGGAATTGCTTCCACCTCACGCCTGTCTTCTGTATGGTCGTGGTATTTCACCGGGCGAGCCGGGACAATTCGTGCGAAGATGTTAAAGCTCGCTCTACCACTGTTAAATATTGATTAAACACCGAGTTGACATAGTATTTCTGTGTGTGTGGGCACAGCCGTGCCCCCTGCTACTTACATCCAATCGAACAGCATCATGTAAGTAGTCTTCGTGTTGAAGGCGAAAGCCAAACCTCGAAGGTCTCGGGCGAGGCCTATCAGTGTCTTCTTTGCATCTTCAGAAGCGAAGAGGGGACTTTCAGGAGGTCCCAATAGACCTATAATACTTTCAAATGCAGCTGAAATATAAAAAAAAACATATTTTAATAGCGCCAATAGCCTAATAGTTAAAAGTACGGATTTCCACTAAAATGGTCGAAGATTCAAATCCAGCCATTCAATTATTCTAAACCATATCCTACCTCAAGTCTACAGCTTATTTAGAATGGTACAAGAAATATAAGTAAACTAGCTGTCGCCCGCGACTCCGTCCGCGCGAAATTAAAAAAAACAAACATAATTAGTCAACAAAGTTCAAATTAACTACATTTTAATTATAAAACGTTTATATGGGAAGCAGAAAAGGGCTGTTTTTAGGATTTTCTTGGAAATTATTGGAATTTTTCTCTACTTTTAAACCTTCCCTAGACCTCAACGAACATAAGATAAGATAAATCCGTTCAGTTCTCGAGTTTTAGCGAGACTAACGAACAGCAATTGATTTTTTGCAATTGACATATATAAATATATATATATATATATATATATATATATATATATATATATACGTTAATTGATAAAAATCTACTAATATTTTAAATTAAAAATAAACTATAGGTCAGCCATTTTTTTGTTTGAACTGCACAATTGCATCATCTCTAAGAGTCTAACCGTTGAGATGAGCTATACCTGTGAGGGGCATCATGAACGCGTGGAACCTCTCCTCATCCTCGCCGAGCTCCACCATCAGCAGCCGGCCGAGCGCGGTGTACAACATGGTGCGGCACCGCATCTCCGAAGGTCCAACTCCTGAGATGCCGAGGAACGGGAAATGTTCTGCCTGAAAATATACAGATATAGTTTAAACACTAATCTTACTAATATTATAAATGCGAATGTTTAGACCAGTGTTTCCCAAAGTGTGCGATAACGCTCCCTTGTGCTTGCTGCAGGTCTCAAGTTGCGGGTTATAGTAAAAGTTTCCTTTACAATTCTCCGTTAATATACATATATAGCTCACAATAATTAATTAATTTGAAGTTACAGTGGTTTTTAAATATTTAAAAATAAGGGAGCGCTAAAAAAATATTTATTTGAGAACCACTGGTTTAGATGTATGTCTGTTTGAATGTATCACCAGAACAGCAACATCTAGATCAAATTTGTCATACATATAGAACATAGTCTGGAAGAACACATAGACTACTAAGTTTTTTTAATTCCGCACGGACAGAGTCGCTGACTGCTAATTTGGTATAAATATAGAACATAGTCTTGAACATTAGCCTAAGTTTTTTTTCGACAGCATAATACTTACAGTATGATGTGTCAACATAAACTGAACTTCTTCCAATGTCACCAGCTTCCTGACGCACGCGTACCCTCCGCTCAGGTCACTCAGCAGTCCGAGGGTCTTTGATATAATCTGTTCAGACCCGCCCCAGTACTTCAAATTCGTTATACTGTTGATAAAAATATTAAAATTTAGTACAAGATTAAATTTCGTCCCGGAGGCCTAATTTAGTCCTCTTTCCCTTCCCAGCCTTTTTCTTATAAGGATGGGAAGTGAAAGTGGACTTTCCGGATGAGATGCATGGGAAGGGAAGATATTCTCTTTCTGTTCATCCTCTCCTCCGTCTCTATCGTGCGTATATAAAAAAATTCCGCATAATAGATGAATAGATGTTTGTTAGAAGGTATCTCCAGAACAGCTTAACTAATCTTGATGAAATTTGTCATAGATGCAGAACATAGTCTGGAACACATAGACTACTAATTAAGTTTCTTAATTCGCGAGGACAGAGTCGCGGGGGATAGTTAGTAGAAAATAATAATAAAAATGGTCTAATTTCAACTAATAAGGGACCACAACCTCTCATAAAACGGTCAAATCGAAGTAATTCTGCGTTTCTCTTCCACCCTTTTGTTACAAGGAAACGATGGGAACGGGATGTAGATTAGAAGAGAAGACACAAAGGAAGGGAAAAAAATCTCTTAGTGCGTCCTCCTCCATAGATTAAAGGTAGACATTATCTACTATATCTATGGGCAGCTGTCGTTTCGCCATTTCAGCGAATTAAGGGGATTAGATAAAATACGTTTATAAGCGATTCTTTAGAGAAATAACTTGACTTATATAAACTTATGGAATCGCATCTTAACGAATGTACTTTGTCTCATCCCCTTTTAGTAGTTTGATCTACAGTTTTTTTTTATAATACTAGAAGAAGGTAGCTAATATACTAACATTTTCCTCATAAGTACACTGAGGAGTTGACTCTCATCAGCTAAGCCAAGCACCTCGCTGAGACGACGGTACACCTTGCTGCTCTTCTGCACCTGCTCACCCACGTAGATCTTCCTGAACTGCTCGAAGAACGACATCATAGCCAGCTCCAGTTTCTCACAACCACCCTGTATATTAACATTATATATATAGTAAATATCGCCAGCGATTCCTTCCATGAGGAAATTAAAAAAAAAAATTAGTAGCCTATGTGGTCTTCCAGACTATCTTTATATATATAATTCTTCTGTGAGTGTGTATGTCACTGAACTTCTCTCAAACGACTGGTGCGATTTTGATGAAATTTTTTGTGTGTGTTCAAGGGAATCTGGGAATGGTTTAGATTCACAATTTTCATCAAATATTAACTTCATATTAATTTATTCAAATTAAAGACGTGTAGACAGGACAACGTCTGTCGGGTCCGCTAGTCTTATATATATGTCAAATTTTAAGTAAGAACCATTCAGATGTTCTGGAGATATCTTCCAACAAACATCCATCCATACATTCGCATTTATAATATTAAGTAACATAGTTATTACTTGAATCCATCCTCGCGGAAATATAAAGATCTTGACAGACAGACGGACGGACAACAAAGTGATACTATTAAGGGTTCCGTGTTTTTCCTTTCGATGTACGGAACCCTAAGAATTAATTAGTTACTTTTATGTTCTACATCCATGTCAAATTCCACCAAGATCCATTCAGCAATTCTACAGATATGTTCAAACATACATCTAAACATTCGCATTTATAATATTAGTAAGATTATCCAGTGTACTAATATTAATCTACGTTCCTTTCCAACAATTTTCTTATACACTTTGGCAGAAGAGGGGACGCATAGGAATTCCACTATCTAGGTATCTCTTCAATGCATCTGCAAAGGGTAACTAAACTGGACCGATTTAGATGAGACTAAAAAATAGTTTTTTTTTATTTACTACTAAACACATATCTGTGAAAGTCAAAGATGTGTGAAGTGCACTGGACCAGTATTCACCATGACCCAGTCCCTTAGGGTAGGTTAGACCCTCAGTGGGGACTTAGTGATGATTGTATAACGAGATTCGTACCCTGGCAAGCCTGGAGTCAGTAAGGTCCATGAGCTGCAGCACTCTGCAGACCAGCTCACCATCCATGGCGTCGTTCTCATCACAAGTGGTGACAGACGCACGTCCACCGATTGCCGCACCAATTATATACACCAACCAAGTTAATTGTCCTGAAAATATATTTTAAATATATATATAGTAACGACAAATTTAGATAGATACTAGCTGTCGCCCGCGACTACGTCTGCGCGGAATTAAAGAAAAAACACAGTCTATGTGTTCTTTCAGACTATGTTCTATATGTATGCCAAATTTAATCGACATCCGTTCAGCCGTTGTAGAGATATCTTCAAACACCCATCCATCCATCCACATCACATCCATCTAACCATTCGCATTTATAATATTAGTAAGAAAAAAAATGAATAAATAGTATCCTATATCCGTCTCCTTGCTCTAAGCTACCTCCTCAACAATTTTCAGGCATATCGGTAAAACCATTCTTGAGTTATAAATAGTGTAACTAACACCACTTTCTTTTATATATATAAAGAAGATATCCTACAATTATATACAATAAAAAAGTGTTTTTAATCTCAGAAACCTACCTTTTTCTTAATATAGTTATTAAAATGCGACAAAAACACCGTGTACCTTGCAGCACTAGTATTTGTTGAGGTCGTTGTTCAACACTGTATTCAGCAGCAGCACGGTCAAAGTGTGCCACCAACAGCTGACAAGTCTTCCCGTACTCGCACCTTCCTATCACAGACAGCTGCTCCAGCTGCTGCTGCACTGTGCCAACTTCATCCAGTGGATCTTCTAGACCTTCGCTGTAAACAAATATATAACGGTTAACATATGTATCATGAATAAAGGTACATCTGATAATAGATGTAACTGTTTTCGGTTGAAAAAAAGTTATATTTAGCCCTAGATGTGACTTTTTTCTATGAGAATTGATACGATTGTTATCTATCTGAAGAACTGATCTATGAAAAGAGTTACATCTGTCGAAAGATGACTCTTTTCGATGAAAATATTGACATTTGACAAAAGATGTCTATTCGGTGAAAATAGGCACTACTGTCAAAAGATGTGACTTCGAAAGAAAAAGGTCCAACTGCCAAGAGTTGTGACTAATCTCGATGAAAATGGTTATATCTGGCGAAAGATGTGACTGTTTTCGATGAAAAAAGTTACATTTGACATGAGATGTTACCCTAAGTAAAGAATTTTTTCAATTCTGTACAGCTTTGAGGTCTGATTAATGCAAACAAACAAATCTTTCTTTATAATCTTACTAATATTATAAATACGAATATTTAGATGGATGTTTGTTACAAGATATCTCCGGAACAACTCAACAGATCTTGTTAAAATTTGATATACATATAGAACATAGTCTAGAAGAACACATAGACTACTAAGTTCTTTTTTATTGCACGCGGACGTAGTCACGGCTGACAGCTAGTATATTATAAATGCGAATGGTTAGATGTATGTTTGTTAGATAGTATCTCCGGAACAACTCAACGGATTTTGATGAAATTTGTCATACATATAGAACATAGTCTGGAAGAACACATAGACTACTTATTAGGTTATTTTTTTGTAAATTAATAGCATATCCAGATACCTGACAACAACAGCCACAGAATCAAGTCTAGATGCGATATACGCAGCGGTAACACCAGGCGCATAAGTCTCCAATTGATGAGGTTCAGTCGCCTTCACGTATGGCACCGATGCCACCATACGTTGCCATAATGACAGCAAATAATGCACTGAATTGGGTGCGAATTGCCACATCTGAAAATTGTCATAAAGATATTAACTTACCCTTATCTCTATAAAGGGTCGGCAGAGTATGTAATCCGTACATCTCTATCAGATGTCATATCTGAATTTACTTCTTACACATATCCTACCTTTGTAGCCATTCTCTTCCACTTCCCATCCTTTTATAAGAAAAAGGGTGGGAAGGGAAAGAGGAGTAAATTAGTCCTCCGGGACTCAAAGATTTCACTTTGTCTATCCTTTGGGTTTTTTTTTTATATCATAAATTTAACTTTTTTAATGTTACTAACCTGTAAACTTTGAACAGTAAACTTGGCAACAAGTTCAATGAGTCTTGGATAATTATCAACCATAACTAATTCACCGAGTTGATAATTAGATTTCAACCGAGCGAGTAGACGACAGAATTCATGATAATTTGCCGGCTCCGAGAGACCCTGGAATAAATATAATTAATTAAAAAAACATTATGACACACATGGGATTTCTAATGACAACTTAATCTTACTAATATTATAAATGTGAATGTATAGATGTATGTTTGTTAGAAGATATCTCCGGAACGGCTGAATGGATCTTGATGAAATTTGTCATAAATATAGAAAACATAGTCTGGAAGAACACATAGATTTTTTTTTAATTCTGTACGGTGTCTGGGTCGACAGCTAGTTAATATAAATAAAGCCATAAATGAAAGAATATGATTGTTTTTTGTATCCGTGTTTGCAAGCCCCCTGTTTTATGATAAAGGTTTGTTGACAAGATTTATTGAGATATTTGAGTGACAAAATCTGTGGTACTCCGATACGTCATTCCCGGACATCTTGTATATTATCAAATAAATCAACGTCAAAATGACAATCAAATATGCACAAAATAGTAGTACTTATAGCTAGTCCATTTATATAGGATTAATAATAAAAATCATAAATAAACACACACACCTGTGTATTATCTAATATCCTAAGCACACCAGCGGCTAATCTATTCAGGAACTTGGATCTTTCATTATTGCTGAACAGACTTCTTCGTACAGAGGCCAATTGTACTAAACACGCCAGAGCTAGACCAGCCAGAGAACCAGCTAAGGAGTGATACAGCTCGAAGAACAGACCTAATGTTGACGGTTCTAGGAATGTTGGTCGCCATGATGTCGGGATCTGTGGACCAATTTTATTAAATGAAAAAAAAATGAGATTACATAGCGCCTACTAATTTATAAAAGCAATTCCCTAATTTAAAGGTCGAACTATGCGCCTGTAACTTTGTAATAGCAATTCTCTAATGCATTGTCACACCTGCGCCTGCTACTTTATAATCAGCAATTAAACGATCAAAATTATTTGACCCTAAAATTTTAAAAACTCAAAATTATAAATTATACTATATTATTGGATTACTGAATTAAGATATATCTGTTCATTGTTAAGAATATTTGGATGGATGGATGGATGTTTGTTAAACGGCATCTTCAGATCAGCTAAACAGATCTTCATGAAATCCTACTAATATTATAAATGCGAATATTTAGATGGATGGATGTTTGTTAGAAGATATCTCCAAAACAGATCTCGATGAAACTTGGCATATATAGTCTGTAAAAACACATAGACTAATTAAGTTCTCAAGCAAAAGCTTAGTACCATATATATGACTGACTTCCTTACCTGTACAGTACAAAGATCATCAGCTGATTCATCACTGGTGGTGCCTATAAAGTCATAGGTGAGACAGGCGTGTGCCAGCCGCAGCAACGCTGCCAACAACGCCTGCTGCGCCTCCTCGCCCAACCGCAGTGGAGCACCCAGCAAGGAACATGACAGACGGAATATCTCAAACAGCTGGTTGTCTCTGGAATTATTATAAAAAAATATCTATAATTAAATTTTGATGACATACTTCAAGCTTATAAGCCAGAAGGGTAGGCAGAGAACATTACATTAATATATCTATGACATATTTAGGGTTCCATACATCTTACTAATATTATAAATGCGAATGTTTAAATGGATGTTTGTTGCAAGATATCTCCGGAACAGTTCAATGTATCTTGATGAAATTTGTCATAGATGTAGAACATAGTCTTTAAGAACACATATACTAATAATTACGTTTTTTTTAAATAAAGCGCGGCTAGAGTCGCCGTACCATCTAGTTATATATATTAAAAAATAAACAAAGTCAAAAATGAAATTTTTAAATAAATTTTCAACATCTAATATAAAATAATTTGTACAACAATTACATAACCCACGCCAATAACTCAAAGGGGTAGACAGAGACCACGGATCTACATTTGGCGAGGTTCTGACTCAAGCTAGCTTTTTCGTAAGATACAATCACTTTGTTGTGTCTCCGTCTATCTGTCAAGAGTCTTTTTTTATTTCTGTACGGACAAAGTTACGGGCGATCTTTAGTTTAATATAAGCCCTGACCTGAATGAGGATGCAATTTTCCTATGCTTGGTGAGTGAACGGCTGGCATCGTCCGACACCTGGTTCATCTCTGACACCAGCTGGCACAACAGCTGGACACCAATTGTGCACATCTCTGCTGGACCCTGGAACACATGTTATCATCATCAGCTCACTATCCCCACTGAGGGTCTAACCTACCCTTAGTTAGGTAATAGTGAATGCTGGTCCGTCTGGTGGAAGACGTCGGTGGTTCAGTGGTCAAGCACTTGACTTGCAATCTGCAGGTCCTGGGTTCGAATCATCACCATGTACCAATGTGTTTTTCGATTTACAAATGTACATTTATCCGACGTTCTTACGGTGAAGGAAAACATCGTGATGCTGCACATATCTGAGAAGTAATTCAAAGATATGTGTGAAGTCAACCCGCACTTGGCCAGCGTGGTTGACTATGGCCTAATCACCCTTAACTTAAAGTAGGCTCCGAGCCCCTCGGTGGGGACGTATGGTGAGCTGATGATGAATGCTGGTCCAGTGCGCACTTCACACATATCTTTGTATTTTAGATTTGCTGTCTGTCTGTATGTATGTTCCGGGTAATCTCCGGAACGGGTGGACAGATTTTGATGAGATGCAGGTATCTTATAGGCTACTTTTTATGGTATTGGTATTTGTATTTTTCTATTTACCTGAAGGAAACTGGAGACATCATTCATAACATTCCGGAAAACATATTCCTCCTTCACCATATCAAACCAGCCGAGCTTAGTGATGCGAGCAAATAGAGACACGAGTGACTGAAATAAATACATATAAGTTTTTTTATCTTATTAATATTATAAATGCAAAAATTTAGATTGATAGATGGTAGGTGTCTCCGGAACAACTCAAGGGATGTTGATGAAATTTGGCATAGATGTAGAACATAGTCTGGAAGAACACATAGAGTACTGTTTTTAATGCGCGAACGAGTCGCAGGCGACAGCTAGTCGATAATAAAAACCTTTTAGGATAATTTTGTTGTCTGTCTGTTTGAATACATGTTTAGTTTAAAATCATCCTTTTTAAATATTAAATTTAGTAAAGTTAATTGACCTTTTTAGTTTACTTAGCTTTATCAATCGTTATTCACATGCAAACTTTAAAAAATTATAAATTTTCTCCGCTGTTCAAATAACCATAAACAAAATCATATTTTTTTTTGTAATTAAAAAGTTTTTCTTATAATAATTCCATTATTGTTTGAAAATACGTACCTGTATAACAAAAGCGGCCAGTTTAGGTCTTGTAGCGAGATAGTTGAGTACATAATTTCTAATGTCTAGTCTCTGCTGCACGGATAAACTGGTGGTTGATCTGGATAAAGTCAGTTTTTTTATTATATTGTAGCAAGCGAGCATAGACACATAGATTCGCCAAAATAGCGAAACGATTGGTACCCATAGACATACATCATTGCAGATGACGGCCCATCTTTGATTGACGGAGGAAGGGATGTATAGAAAGATAATTTCCCTTTTCTATGACTCCCGTCCTTCGTCAAATCCACTTCCCCTTCCCAACCAATTGTGTTAGAAAAGATTTGTGTAAAGAAGTGAATTCACATAAGACAGCTGATTGAGATGTATGGAAGAGTACTTTATCAACACAAAGAAAGGAAAAAGGCAGAAATTAATTAAAAAAATTACCTGCTTAGTAGTTTAGCTAGGGTAGTAGCTGCCAAGAGCTGGGAGTAACTGGAATCAGCTCTCTCCAGCAAAGCCTGACACTTACTGAGGGTGTCCGGGGACTCCTGTACAAAAAAAAATTATAGAGATACAAGACCAACTGCAATTAATCAGTGGATGGCAACAGATGATTAATTCCATACTCCCAACATTCCTCATAAGCAAGAGACGGAGTATCTGACAATATCTGACTAAAGGGTTAGGTAACTCGGCGCACAAAGATCACTCCCCGAGTACACCATCAAAAATGGGTTGTTGAGGTTCTTTGGTGAGCTGGGTTTCCTAGAGTGATCCATGAGCTGTCCTAACGTAGATACGAGCTAGAAGCGGAGTTGCGGAAACCATAGCTCCTACAACTACTACTGAGAAGCGGCTAACTTAGTTAACAATTTGAGACACTATAGTATACAGCCAAAATCATGTGTGCCTAGTTCTTATGTACATTATAAGTTAAATATATTACCTGGAAAGCAACCACTGCCTTCTCCGCCTGCTCCCTGATGTTAGGATCCTGGGAGTCATACAGCTGTTTGCATAGCAACTCTATTTGACGCACCTCCTGGATAAATTATTATAAATTCAGTGGAAATTTTTGTACCCATTTTCTCACGAGACTGGACATGTAAATTTGACACAGTTAAAGTTAATGTGAAGTGTACTAAGCTATTTTAATTCAACTAAAAAATTTTTTTTATTATAAATTAGGGTTAAACTATCTGTTGCCAGTTAATTAGTAGCAAATGTGTTCTTCCATACTGTGTTCTACATCTATGCCGAATTTCAGCAAGATCTATGTAGCCGATCTAGACATACCTTCAAATATCCATCCATCCATCTAAACATTCAACAATCGGTGACCAGTAATATTCATATACTTGACTCCTACTTCACAAGCTAACTTAAAGTCACTAACCTCATAGGAACTCTTTACATTGCTCAAAAGTTACTCTACCTAATATTGAGCCAATTGGAGTCTAAAATCGCTCAAAAATTGTTAAAGTATATTTCCGCTGAAGAACTCAAGTATGTTTGTTGTGACTATGCCTTAGTACTCCTGTCATCTTTAGTGTTATTATTTAATAGAGAAGGTTAAAACTGTACAGACAAACAAACCAACTTATAAACATTGGGTTTGGTTATAACAGTGACAGTACATTTTTGAAAAACTAACCTTAAAATATCACATTTGTGAATGTGAAAAATAAAATACTTAAGCATACAAATAGTCATTATCCTTCAAATCTTGTCCAAAGATCGTCTAGAGAGATCTTACTAATATTATAAATACAAAGGTTTAGATGGATGGATGTTTATCTACATATCTCGAGAACAGCTATAAGGATCTTGCTGAAATTTGACATGTAGAACATTATTTGGAAGAATGGATTGCCTACTTTATTCATCCCAAGTTGGGTTGAAAAAAGTCAGGCCGGCTGTAAAACTTTAAGGTAAATAAAACTTTGTGTACAAACTTTGAAACTGGGATAACGTCGGGGAGATGACGTATAAGAATCACCTCTTCAAACCTTTTTATTATTATACAAAGTTATAAAGTTTGTTGGAATGTGGTAATCTCAGAAACCACCCTTTGTATTAGAATTTGTTCTGTTTAGAATGTGATAACATCTACATAAATAAAACAAATGTATATTTCAAACATAAAAACTCTTTTAACTTAACTTTTTTATTTGAATTACTATATCAAACAATAATTTTTAAAAGATTTTTGCTAATTTTAAATACATATTAAATATGTATAAAACGCAGTATGAAAATTAAACTGTTCACATTTTTGTACGTATTTTTCGTATAGATTTGTTTCATCATTGTTTGATAACTTCTTTAAACTTAGAAATATTACATGAATATATAATTTGAATTACTAACGATTCGTTAATTACTTAGTACATAATATATCATGATTGGTAAAGTGTATGCGAATTGATTTATGACAAAAATACGATAGATATATGACGATTATTTTCAAGGGTATATATTTCGTTGTCAACATTGAAGTATAACCAAAATGCCGGTATATTTAACATTGTTTACGTTTATTTCTATTATTTCGATCGTTAAAACATACAATTTAATGTATGTTATAAATATTTTTTTAACAAAAAACTTTATACTGCACTGCAATACGCGGTACTAAGTGCCGAAATTTTAAAAGTGACAAAACTTAGATCGTATAAAAGTGTTAACTTTTAAATTTAAATAGTTTGTATATAATATTGATTTGTGCGTATTTTTTAATAAAGGTTTGTTTAATTCTGTTAAAATGTAATAAAAAACGCAATATTTTGATACTCACCTGTTCTTCAGCCATCTTTGTTATTTTCTCGCATCTGGAATGACGTTTCGTTATAAGGAATAACCAATTTGTTTTATCTTCGGCAATGGACATTCGACGTTACATCCAAAAACTGTTGGAATTTAAAAAAATCTAAATACCTTACTATAATTGAATTAACTAAAACTGAAATTAAATTATATATCAATCGTCAATTTAAATAGAAAATACTGGATTAGGACAATTATTTTGTTAGTTGTGCTTAGGAAGGAAACAATGAATCCAAACTCTTTCGTTTAAAGTTAAATTATGATAATTCAAAGTATGAACCTATTAAATTTAGGGTTTACTAATATCTACATCAATGCAAGAATATATTTTAATTTCAACTATAGCTGTGTGTGAAAAGGAATGAAATAAAGAAATCTCAGGTCTGTGTACAGTATACAGTTACAGTCCAGCTGAAACAATTGGCTAATGCTAATGATAGCTAATTCTGTCGCCAAAACGGCTAAAACAGAAGGACTTAATACCATGCCAAGGTCAAAGAGGTTAGTCGGGGGAAACATGACTGGCAAGCAATAGAAGAATATAACGATAAAATTATCTATGAAAGAAGGAACAAAAGAATAATGTGACAAATCAATATGGAAACGGTTTAAGAAATATAGAAAAAATGGTTTTTTTACTCCAACTCCAGAAAATGTAGGACAAATATTTCCAAATTGTTCAAGTTATATTTTTCTTTTCGGTGCCGGTACATAAATTAATTTAATACATACAAAATACAACCATGAATATCAGAAATAGAACCAAAGATGTTGGTCTGGCTCTATTCAAATTGGACAAACGTAAGTATCTTAAAATTTCCAATTTTTTTTTTTTAAAAAATTGTAAAAGTTTAAGATCTTTCAGCATTTTTATAATTTTCTGAAAGTTCGATATGGCGTAAAATTTGACGATTTTTTTTTATATGAACGATTCTAAAAATTTTTTTAAAAAACCCTGTACAATATTCACAGTGCCACTGCAGAAGTTACGAGGAAAAAGTACAGTCGGCGGCTCAAAGGATTCCAGTCCAGAAGATGCGAACTGCAAGAAATGTAAGCATTTGATTGAAAAATCCTTCAGTATAGATAGAGAGCATGTCTCGCGTGCTGTTGCTGACAAGGATGAGAAGAAGGATAAATTGGAAACTATAGTGGAACACCCATTGGTGGAGGCGGAGCCTAGGGTTGAGGGTATAGACGCGCCTCCAAAACTATTTGGTACGGAACGGTTCAAGCAACCTCAAGACCGTCGATTACAAAAAAGTTTTGATTTAAGCAAATTGACAGGGTTAGACGATTTAGCTTGTAAGTTGATGAATGTACCACCATCACAAATTGATAGTAAATTATTGGAGACATGTCTTACCGCTAGAGTTGTAGACTTTGATAAATCACGAACTTATCCAATAGTTGAAAACTTTGATTGCGATGTACCGGAACATATCGGTCAAACTATTGATGGTTTTTGCAAGGATGATAAAGATACTCTACAAATAGGTAGGTATTCAAATCTGACTCCTCTCTTATACAGAAGCTATGATCTACATCTGGAATCTGATTCAGATGAAAAATCATTTAAAGCTGAGTCATCACATCCTTTACATCTAGATGCTGACTTTAAGATGTCTATTGAAAAAGATTTTTTAATGCATGATTTGAATTTACACTCGTTTCCTATTAGACATGAATTTATAGCTTATAATATGATTGTACCACCGCCTTTACCACCCAACGACACGTCTATATCGAGTCGAATGGCATACGAGGAGGAAATCCAGGAAAGCTTCCGCCGCGACAGGACTATGCCGCCCTACATGAGAGAGTATAAGTTAGGCAAGAAATCACAGGATGCGAGCACAGTACAAGATGCAAGCGAAGAGAGTTACAGAAATTATCTATCTACGTTATCCGGATCCGCCACCTTTCAAGAATCATTAGGACCGGGGAAAGTCAGCACAGGTAAATCCACAAAACAGGAGATTCCCCTATCTCAGCTACTCAAGCAAGTAAGACAGAGAAATAAGATCGCACAAGAAATGGCCAAGAAGAAATTAAAATTTGATGTTAGTCCTTTTTTTAGCAAATCAACGTGCTTTCCGCCTTTAGACCTACGCCCCAAGTCTGCGACATGCCCCCCTAAAGCCTGCCCACCTCGTAAGAAGGAAACTCCCCCTAGAAAAGCTATGCCTTGTCCACCACCAAAGAAACCTCCGTGTCCTCCACCCAAGAAGGGTCCGTGCCCTGTTAAATCTAACCCATGCGATCCCTGCAAACCTCCTCCACCTTGTCCTGCTCCAAAAAATCCATGTGGCTTGTACACTGGAAACAAATTTAAAGATACAATCACATTGATTCTTTGCGGTTTTAATCCATCTAACATTTTACGACACACTTTAGGGTTACCTCTGCTGTGGAATTTCTCTAATAATCTAGTAAAAGATACTAGATTCCACAGTCTTTCTACAACTTCGATAGCAAACTCTAAAGCTTTAAAATTAAAGTCTTCTCACGACTTGTGGGCAAAGGACACGTCTGATGACTATTTTAAAGTTTCTGAAATTCTGAGAATTTCTGATTTGGAAAAAAAACAAAGGGATATAGAGAGTGTTTATTTTGCAAGGAGTTATGATCCATGGGCACCTATCCCGTCCTGGCCGGCGGTAGAAAAGAAGGAAAAAAAGAAATTGGTCTGCCCTAAGGATGGTTGCAAGGCGCCAAAAGTTTTGCCCAGCAAGCCCTGCAAGGAGTTTCCGTGCTCTTTTAATGCTGCAGATCGAAAACGTTAAGTAAAATAAAAAATAATTTGGCTGTGACATGGAATAATTAAATATTGCAAAATTTTAAATCAGTAAATCTAAAAATAAAGGAAATTTCTGTTTAAAATTACATGTTTATTTTATTAACAAGTATGAATTAGTTCGAACCCTTTTATTTCCTTTTTTTCTTGGTAAACCAATGTCTTGATATCAGTTAAAAATTGTCTTAACTTTTTAATTTCTTTTTTTTTTGTTTTTGTACTCCCGGGGAAATCCAGGAAATTGGAACATACTTTATGACTTCGAGTATTAAGTGTCATGCACTATTGTTAATAGATTTACGTGTTTAAAAGTGAAGTAATGATACAAAAGGTTCTTAGAATTTTCATAATAATGGAATTTCTATGACCGTTCTATTACTCATTTTAAAGATAAGCACAGGATATTACCTAGTTCTAGTGCTATGCTAATTTAAGCGTTAAACAACTGTTTTTAGGTTATAAATTCAACGTAAAAATTGAAGAGGAAATTAACACCATTTTCTAGTTTTGTAATCGATGCGTTTCAAATTAAATTTGCATTTGTTTCTATATTTAGAAATTGACAAAAGAGATTTAATGCACGGAAAGTCAACAAGTTATAGATAATAAAATAAACAGGCTATGAATATATTTCATAATTGGTTAGATTACAACGAAAAATATGAATGTAAAAATACTTAGCTCTCATATAATCAGTTTAGCATTTTAGGGCTACTAACCTCTACAGATGTTCACAAAACAGGATACCGCATGCGAATAAACCGCCTGGATTTAAAAGGACCAGTAAGTTCTGACGGCTTTTGTCATTAGACCGAGTTTTCAACATCACTAACCTTTGACATCAACGCCAAAATGGCGAAAATCATATAGGCACAAAATAACACGTCTTATAACCTATCCAATAGAACATGATAGGTCACATCCAACGTAAATATTTTAAAGCCACTGTAAAAAGACCGTTATTTCGTCTATGGCCACAATACATATGACATTAGCGCGAAAACTAAGTTTTCTAGGTTAGGTTAAAAAATAATCTAAATTATTACATCTGCCAACGTCTGTTAAATAATAAATTGCTACTGTTTCATAGTCGGACGGGAATAATAAATAACCAATGTCTCAGGGGAAATCATTTAATCCCGATAGACAAATTCAATTCTGTCGGGGCTAATGTTTTTTGACCTTGAAATCTGTATTGTTAGTGACTACGCGATGTTTAGAATTAATGAGGTTATATTCAAATGCCACATTTTTTTATTACTTCTCTACGAAACGTAACAAATGAAACAATAAATTAAATATAATATAATAATGCGTAATTTTGTAATTAATACGAGCCATTACTTTTCTGGTACGTGCATTATAATAAAATGGATGTAGGTAGGTGAGCGTCGGTGGCTCAGGGGTCGGTGTTTTCGAATCCCGCCGTGTACCAATGTGTTTTTCGATTTCCGTTTTACATATGTACATTTATCCGACGTTACGGTGAAGAAAAACATCGTGATGCTGCACATATCTGAGAAGAAATTCAAATATATGTGTGAAGTTAACCTGCACTTGGTCAGCGGGGTTGACTATGTATGACCTAGTCACATAACTTAGGGTAGGCTCCGAGCCCCTCGGTGGGGACGTATAGTGAGCTGATGATGTAGGTAAATATATTTAATGTTCAATTGGGTAATTTAAAAGATTCTCACCGTTAAGGTTAGATGCGGGGCTTTTGCGGGCACCAACAAATTGCGGAATTGTTCGTATATATATGAACGTTATTTTGTTCTTATTAGCGATAACTAACTTGCTTATAATTAGCGGTTTAATACTGGTACATTGTTAGACTCAGGATAGAGTTAATTAGATGAATGGAGCACTGAAGTGGTAACTCTGTTTTTATTATTGTTCAAGAACACGTATTTAAAACGGGCTTTGTTAAGACTCGAAACTGTATTGTAAGGAATATTCACTTTGGTATATTTATAATAAAAACGATGAACGATTTTTTGCACAAAATACTTTAATAAAGTTTTTTCATATACATATCACAAAATATCACAATACAAAAAAATAATTTAGGAGTAACAAAAATATACTAAAATGACAATCACAGACAGCAATAATGGCGCGAAATATATTAATAGGGATGTACCAATGAAAATTCTAATATTGAATTATCGATAATTTAACAATAGCCAATATTAAAGTTACTCCGACTACTTTATCGAATCTTAAGCGACACGTAATAAAGTTTCGGCGTATACGTCGCCATTTTCGTTAATACCATGGCAACCGTAATAACCACCGTCCGCTTTTTTGACGCTGGCAATACGTAGATCTGTCACAGTACGGTTATTTTCATTGGATTTATTGAAATTGACGCCATTACGGTTTAGAGATTGACCGTTATATGTCCAGGATATTGATGCTGTGGGCACCGCAAGGACGGAGCAAGGTATGGTGACTGCTTCGCCTTCCTTTGCCGCGATATATGTTGGTGGTTTCTTATCGAATGATGGGGCACCTGTAATATAAAATTAATATATTTCTTGTCTATGTTTGTGTACTTCCGAAATTATTATAGTATATTTTTTGTCTCTGTTTATTCCAAGAGATAAGGAGAGAGAAGCACAAAAATGTATTGGCTTAATTTAACTTTTATCTAGAAAAAAACTATTTTGCTCTCATCTAATTATGAAAGTGTTAAATTTAAGATATGATGTAACTCATAGAACTTTTAACAATCGAAATCTTATTTGATATCGATAAAACATGTTCCCTTCCCTATCAAAGCTGACACTAGCGCCATTCCCCTAAAACTTAGAATCATATCCAAACAAATAGAACTTGAGGCAACCCTGGTGTTGCCATATATGTTTATGGGCGATACCTGACATAAAGCGATCCGATGCTTTTGTCTTCATAAAAAAAAACTCAAACTGTCAATACTTACTGACAACAGTTACGTAGAACGAATGCTCCTTTGGTGTGCTCTTTTCATTATCAGCTTTGCAGACGTATTTTCCCTGGTCAGAGAGCCAGACATCTCTGATAAGAAGTCGCTTGCCTTTACTCTTGTTGTACCTGGTTACACGGTCTTGTGGCGAATTGTTGACATCTTCACCGTCTTTGAACCAATCGGGATGAGCTAGAGGACTGTACATATAAATTACGATTAGATTTAGTGTTATAAAACCTGATAATTTATTATTCTTTTATGTGGGTTGGAAATTGCAATATAAATAACACGCAAAACCATAGGTAGAAAGAGACCAGACTTTTTGGCAACGAATACAATCTTGTAAGCTACGGGTACATTTATAATATGTTCGAAACATTTATGTTCTGTTTTCGTTCTTTAACCATCATCATCATCAGCTCGCTATATGTCCCTACCGAGGGGCTCGGAGCCTACCCTAAGGTAAGAGTGACTAGGCCATAGTCAACCACGTTGACCAAGTGCGGGTTGACTTCACACATAATTTGAATTTCTTCTCAGATATGTGCAGCATCACGATGTTTTCCTTCACCGTAAGAACGTCGGATAAATGTACATATGTAAATCGGAAATAGAAAAACACATTGGTACATGGCGGGATTCGAACCCAGGACCTGCAGATTGCAAGTCATGTGCTTGACTCCTGAGCCACAGACGCTTTAACCATACTTCTTAATAATATTGTAAATGCGAATGTTTAGATGGATGGATGTATGTTAGAAAGTATCTCCAGAATGCTTAAACGGATATCGCTGAAATTTTGCGTAGATATATCTAGAAGAATACAAAGGCTGATAATTAATTTTCTTTTAGTTCAGCGGACGGAGTCGCGAGCAATAGCTAGTAACTTATAATTCAATCTTCAACAATGACCATATTCTTGACACATTCGATGTTTTTTTTTAATTCATAAGGTGGCAAACGAGCGAGCCGCCACCTGAAACCGCTGATATAGCGAAGTGACCGTTAGACATACGTAATTGTATATGCGTTGCCTACCTTTAAGACGGAGGAGAGGATGCACAGAAATAAAATATTTTCCCTTTCCATGCATCCTCTCATCCGGAAAGTTCACTTCCAGTTCCCATCGTTTCCTTATAAGAAAAATGATGGGAAGGGAAAGAGGACTATATTAGGCCTCCGAGACGCAAACTCATCAGACTGTACGCGGAATAGCTTCCACTTGACGCTTGTCTTCTGTGTGGTCATGGTATTTCACCGGGCGAGCCGGGACAATTCGTGCGAAGATATTAAAGCTCGCTCTACCACTGTTAAACTATTTAGATGAGTATTGAATTTTATCTACTTAATTACTCACAAATAATCTATTAAAATAACGATTTACATAATAGTGCAATATATTTTCATAGCAATAGAGAAATTAACATATGTATAGTGAAAACTTGAGGAAAATAACATAGGATTTATTATTTCGATCGCGTACGATGCCAGGTCAACGCTTATCTATATTATATTATCTGTCTTAGGTATAAACAAAAACAAAATGGGGTCAGAATTATGAACGAAGAAGTTTTGAATGCTTTGTTTATGGTTTTTAGATATGGCGGGAATTTTAATAGAGTAATATAAAGTTCGGAAATGTAAAAAAATATTTTAGTTTAACTTGTTTTTTATTTTTAACGATTTAAGTAAAAGTAAATGGTTTTAAATTTATCTAATAATCTTACTAATATTATAGTACTAGCTGACGCTCGCGACTCCGTCTGCCCGGAATTAAAAACAAAATTAATATGTAGCCTATGTGTTCTTCCAGACTATGTTCTATATTTCTGCCAAATTTCTACTTGATACTATCAAATTAATATTAAAATTGGGAATGTTTAGATGGATGGATGTTGGTTAGAAGATATCTCCAGAACGGCTGAATGGATCTCGATGAAATTTGGCTAACATAGTCTGGAAGAACACATAGGCTACTAATTACGTTTCTTTAAACCCGGACGGAGTTGCGGGCGACCGTTAGTTTAATATCGGTGCGTCGTAATGATGTTTTAGTTACTTCTAACCTCTATGATAAGTAATTAGTTTACGTCATATTTTGGATTTCCCTTAATTTAGTTATTATATTAATTAATTAACAATTTGTTTAGAATAAACTTTAACAATGATAATGCATTTATAAGTGGGATTTTGTTATCAGTTTTAATTAAAAGATATATTAGAAAACTCAAATATTGGATATTAGGAACTATTGTATACCAAACAGATTTATATTGTTAGGAAGAAAATCCGACAATGTGCCGGTGTGGCGCAACACTAGCTTTACTAAAATGTCGACGTTTGTGTCCCCACACTAATCTGACACTTGACTTTGTAACGAAAGCACGTCATTTGTGCCAAAGGATTCTGACTAATAATGTCTAAAAGTAAGTTCTTTACTTAATAGTACTAAAAATAGATATTTAAATCAGTTTTCCACTACCGCGACGCTAAATGTTTCATTTTTATGAGTATACCGGTTTTCGATGAATACAATAATGCAATCGCGCAAATAGTCCTAATTGGAAAGTCTGTCGCCAGCCACTCTATTCGAGCAGGATTAAACAACCTAATTACTTAGGATATTTGTTATTTCAGACCATCTATGCCAAATTTCAGCGAGATCCATGCAGCCGTTCCGGAGATACCTTCTAACAAACATCAGTCTAAACATTCGCATTTATAATGTTAGTAAGATAAAATTTAATAACATTAATATAAATACTGGCCTGTTATAAGAAAAAAAAACATTAAAAACTAAAGAAATCTATAATCTATGCCAGATGTATATTGGCCAGTTATAAAAAAACAAATGTCACTTACTTGCCGCCGAAAATGCAGAACAGGTAAGTGCGCTCGCCGACTTTTAAAGTTTGGTTCTGGTTCAAATATTGCGGTACAACTTCGGTATAATCATGGTTCTTGTTAGATTCCAGACCTTCGATGTAATGTTCAGCAAGCACAATCGGTTTGGTAACAGCGGGAGATGACGCGAGACATACATATTTAAAATTATCATAGCTATCAGATTTTTCAACACTAGAAATGTATAAAGCGCCATCAGGAGCGACAGTGTAACGCGAATTTGCCACTTCATTTGAAACTTTGGGATCGCTTTCTAATTGCAATCTCCATTCAATTGTAGGTTTCGGGTACGAATCTGGTATAGCACATTCCAATTTGACGGGTGAACCTTCGATCGGTTTGTGTCTTTGGACGGTAACTTTCGGTAGGTTAATGTAAGCTCGTTTGGCAGTTATCATCCTTGTACTGGCAACACCAGCGTCAGATGTAGCGAAGCATTGGTAGTGACCTTCGTCGTCTTGTTTTGGTTTTAAAAATACGATTGTTCCTTCATTGTCTGTTTTAACAACATCGGTATGTTTGCTCCAATCGAATGGTTTACCATCCTTTTGCCATGTGTAACTATAACAAGATAATAACTGTATAATATCATCATCAGCTCATACATTGGGGATGTATGAGCTGAGGGTCTCAGAGGCTTCCCTAAGTTAATTAGGTCATAGTGAATGCTGTCCCAGTACGTCACTTAACACATATCTTAAAATTCCTTCTCACATATGTGTAGCACATAAAAAAACACATTGGTACATGCCGGGATTCAAACCCAGGACCTGCAGACAAGTCAAGTGCTCTACTCCTGAGCCGCCGACTCTCTATTTACCAATTCCAAATCAATAAACAACATGGAATGATATTTTAAATAACTATAGCTTATGTTTTATCAGAATTACATCTTTTTAAATACTTACAGCACGTTTTGCGAGCGTCCAGTGACGCTGCAAGGCAGCCTCAAATGCATCGGGGGTTCGGAAACCGCGAACAACACCTCGGCCGGCACTTCAGCCAATATGGGACCATCTTCCACGGGAAGGGAGGCACCTGGAATACGATTATATATCAAGAAGACTTTGTTACCTTTTGTATATTTTATACTAGAGAGAGAATGTTACTAAATTGTGAGAATTGTTACTAAATTTGAAAAAAAACTTACACATAGCAGCAAAAGCTGCAAACGCAGCGAAACTTTTCACAAAACTCATTTTTCGATTCCTACAAAAAAATAATATGAAAAATACATAAAAAATATATTCTATGAAAATTAAATAATACAGGAATAAAAATGTACAGATATTAAGAAAAATTACAGAAAAAAAAATAATTTAATGAAACATAATACTTAATTTAGATAAATTAAAAAAAGAGCAACTGACAGTATGAATTTCTGAACGTACCGTGTCACCGTGTTGGCGGGAAATGCACTGATGCACCTTGTACAGCCACTGTATATATACGCCAACCGGCCAGTACTCCAGCCGCCATGTAAAGTACCGCGACTCATCTACGACCTTTTTATGTGTTTAGGATAATACTTACGTTTTATTGTTAAATAATAAGTAAAACATAAATAGTGTTTTTTTTAATTTTCACGTCTGAACAAAGAAGTTTGGTGTCAAAGAAGGTCATATACCACAGACAACTTTTTTTAAGAACTTATAGGTTAGAAATAGCATTTTATCTTAACTGTAGGCTAAAGTTTTGGTGTATTTTTCCTAGTTAGTCATATTTTAAAGCACCTCCGTCCGCGCGTTATTAGAAAAAAAACTTAAAAGGTTGCCTATGTGTTCTTCCAGACTATGTTTTACATCTATGTCAAATTTCAACGAGATCCATACAGCCGTTCTAGAGATATCTTCAAACAAACATACATCTAAACATTCGCATTCATAATATTAGTAAGAAGTACCATTATCAGATTAAGGATCGAAAGTTCGTCTCGTAATAATATTTTGGCACTTTTAGTGGAAGAGCAAAAAATCATATTGAGGGACGCCATCTAGCGATGTTGTGTTAGGTTGCAAAGATTTGTAATTAGCACTTATTTTAAGTATAACATTTATGAATAATGCCTATTTCTGTTCACCAATTGATAGAATCTTCCGACGTGTTACGCGGGAAAATCAAAATAGTCGGTTAACTTGTTTATATATACACAAATTTTATTTTGTAACCTAAAAATAAATACCCTATCAAACCTCTATTTAATAAGAGGCGTGAATGTTTATTTTTTCATCTAGTTTTCCTTTAATTAAGCTGATTAAATGAAATCAAACACTAATGGAATAACCTGTCCTGTATAATTCCTGACGCAATAAAATGACAGATTTGTTTTTTTTTTCTAATAAACAAACACAACTGTCATTGTGAGGAAATTGTAACACTGTTGTTTAATCTTATTTATATTAGTCATATAAAAAATACGTCTTAAATTGCGGTTATTTGATATAATAAATCTATGTAGACGTAATAAGTAATACACATTTTTCTATATTACTAATATTATAAATGCGAACGTTTAGATGGATGTTTGTTTGAAGGTATCTCCAGAATGGCTGTATGCTTCTGGCTGTAAGGCATAGATGTAGAACATAGTCTGGAAGAACAATAAGGCTAGTTAAGTTTCTTAATATCGTGCGGGCAAAGACACGGGCGAAGGTAGTGCTTACTAATTATAACATATTGTAATTTCTCTCTTAAGGAAAATAAACAAAAGCCTATAAAGATTATTTACAATACTAATACGTATGAGGAAAAAGGGAATGGACATATTCATCGTATTTCCTTGTGTTAACATCGCGGTGAATCCCACAGATAAAGATTAAGAAATTAGTAACCGTTACTATGCGAATAGCTTGAATAATAGGTTAAGAATTGACCTGGTAATCTATGCCATAAACATCGTGTTACTAATATTATAAATGCAAATGTTTGGATGTATAGATGGATGTTTGTTTAAAGGTATCTTCAGAACGGATGCATAGATCTCGCTTATATTTAGCATAGATGTAGAACATAGTCTGGAAGAATACGTATCCTACATTTTTTTTAATTCCGCGCGTAGAGTCGCTGGCTCGTTCGATCTCTAGAATAAGCGTACCTATAATCCGCATAACTAATAAACTAATTAACTAACTAACTAATTCTAATATAAACAAAATATATTTTTAAAGACACCTTATGTTATTATTAAGATAAACAATAAATCTTTTTAGGCATTCGAACTGCAAAAAAAGTTAAAAAACGTAATCATGGCTCCACGACCTCTATGCCATGTTTATTTTAGATTTAAAAATAAATAAAAAACGCGCCAACACGTTCCTCACAACATTCCAGGTTATAGCCGCGTCTCTATGCGAAACTCGTTATGAAAAAGGGCAAAACGAATCGAGAATATGTAACATCGATTCTTTTTATTTGTTAATCTGTAGATGACACCTGACATGTAATAAATTTATTACACCTCTTTGCATCTCAATAAACATAACGAAAAGCATACAGCGAAATAATCTGCATAAAATAACCGTAAGAAATATAGTTACGGTAAAAAAAAACGAGAAAAAAATTAATTGTTATATTTTTTACCGTTTTATTGGACTTGTAATAAAATTTAAAAAAAAAAATGTTTAATTTTTTTATGAATAAAATATGAAAATATTTTTTTAAATTTCATTTTTTTTATTGTAAGCATTGTCTATGATTTTAGTCCCCTATTAAGCGAGTCATGAACAAATATTTTCATTGGAATAAGAGTAAAAAGTTCGCATAGTGGAACAAAACACTATGGTATGTTTTTTTTCTTAAAAGGACATGACATAAAGTAGAGTTTCCACATACATTTCACCATAGACATTGTAAGCTTTACAACCGTAATATCCTGTCTGACCTTGTGTCACGTTCTTTAATGTCAAATGACTTTTCGTTGGTTCCCCTTCTAGATATATGGTCGTCAGTTCCATATCTGTTGATTCTTCAAAGAGTGGCTGAGCGTCTAACGTCCATAATACAATAGGTTCAGGTCTAGCGTTTATATCAAATGTGATTGTCACTGCTGTACCCTCGAATACCTTTATCACTGGATCAATGTTTTCAAATGTTGGTGCCACTGAGAAAAATTGATGAATAAATGAAGACACGTAAATTAAAAATAAAGACGTTAAAAATAATAATAAAGTTAACTCCTAGTTTAAAATGCAATTATTTTATCGTGATTTTTCCTCTGTACCAAATAATCTTACTCGTTTAGATGGACGTATGTTAGAAGGTATCTCCAGAACGGGTTGAAGGATCTTGATGAAATTTGGTATACATGTAGAACATAGTCTAGACGACCACATAGGCTTACTAAGTTTTTTTTTTTAATTCCACGCAAATTTAGTGGCTGGCAATCGCTAGTGAAACAATTAAACACCAATCTGTCAACCTGTCAATATAATTCTAGCTATGTTTTCGTGATTTATGACGTCACCATATGGCGCGAGTTTGTTTTTTAAATTTAAAAAGTGGTATAGTATTGGAAACTACTTACTAACAACGATCACTTCAATTTGATGTCTTCTTGGTGAGTTAACCTTATTCCTAACGATGCAAGTGTACGTCCCTTCGTCTTCCACTTTGACATCATTTATAATCAGCACTTGACCTCTATTCTTATTGTCTATGGTTATCCGGCTTGTCGAGTTCAGTATCCTTTTACTGTCTTTCATCCATGTTACATTCGGTGAAGGGCTGGTTATTAAAAAAAATAACAGAAGAAAAATAACTCCATTTTTTTTTTAAATCATATTATCTGTGGGTATCAAGTTCGGAAAAACACCAGTCTAAATTATCTTATTTCTTATCAATATTATAAATGCGAAAGTTTAGATGAATGTTTGTTTGAAGGTATCTTCGGAACGACTCAACGGATTTTGATGAAATTTGGTACACTTGTAGAGCATTTGATTGATCTAGAAGAATATATAGGCTACTTATTAAGCTTTCTGATTCCACGCGGACGGAGTTGCGGGAGACAGTAGGTTATATATCAATAATTCTGCCACGTATTTCATCAAGGGATACCTATGGTAGGTTACAATGGTAAATACATACAAAACAAGAAAATAATAGAGGTATTAACAAATAATTTACCTTCCAGAATAAATACAATATAATTTAATAACTTTCCCAACTTCAGCGAATATATTTTCACTCGTATAAATTTTTTCTAAATATTTATTCCCTTTATTATTATCTTGTACCTCTACAATGAAATGTTCTGCCGCTAATCCAGTTTTATTACTAACTTTAGATGTGACAAAACAATTGTACGATATATTTTTCAATGCATCCTCTTTGGTCACATTAAACAACCATAGACCACCGTCTGGCATAACGATATGCTCTTTTATAACATCTGTGTAATTGTTAACTTTTTTTTTATCTTTTATTTTCCATTCAAACATTGGATTTGGATTTGATTCTACTGGACAGTCAAGTAAAACAGGCTCTTTATCTAGAGCGATATGGTCTTCTATATATTCACTTATATCTAAATATGTATCGTAAACATTTATCATTGTTGATGTAGCGACTCTAAGATTTTGCTCTACAAAGCATTGATATCGTCCAATATCCTCCTCGGTTGGATTTAGAATTGTTATTGTACCGTTTTCCTTATTTGATATTATTCTAGGATTAGATTTAACGTTAAGGATATCTCCATTCTTTTCCCAGGAGTAACTGAAAAGTATCATTTGGTATATCACAACACAAAAGACAGACGTCAATTTTTTTTTATAATATTATAATATAAGGTGGCAAACGAGCGAGCGGCCACCTGAAATCGCTGAAATAGCGAAGCGACCGCTGCCCATAGACATACGCAATTGCATATACGTTACCTACCTTTAATCGCTGAAAGAGATTCACAGAAAGAAAATATTTTCCCTTCCTATGCATCCTCTCATCCGGAAAGTCCACTTCCACTTCCGGAAAAGGGTGGGAAGGGAAAGAGGACTAAATTAGGCCTCTAGGACGCACACTCATCAGACGAATCGCGGAATTGCTTCCACTTCACGCCTGTCTTCTGTGTGGTCGTGGTATTTCACCGGGCGAGCCGGGACAATTCGTGCGAAGATGTTAAAGCGGGCTCTACCATTGTAAAATGAAATGATATGTTAAAATGGAAGCAATTCGCGTTTTTGTTTGATAAGTTTGATTGCTCTTCCCATTCTTTTCCTATAGATAAAGGAAAGTAAATATACAGGGAAGAGTTCGCATATTAAGGGGAGATGTCTTCTTTCTGTGCATCTCCTGTCAATTATAGGTAGGCAAAGTATCCGCAAATGCGGATCTTTGTAGGTAGCAGCCACTTGTTCGTTTGTCAACGTATAAAAAAATAGATTCACAAGCGATGATTAGGTGGCAATAAACTTACGATAAATGAGGAACTTTTTTCACGGTAGAACATGGCAATGTAATATTATTTACGGGAGGAATCATGAGCCATACTATAGCAGGTGGGGGCGCTAGTATCGGCAACAGATCCAGGTCATCCGGTTTACCAGCAATAACGCTGTCTATAAGACCTGGATGGAATGGTTTCGGCGTTAAATATGTGTAATCAAGAATGGACAGTTAAACAAAAAGAATGCAATGAGATATATAACTCTAAGTTAAAAATATTACTAACTTTTATTACATGGCGCCTTTATAATAATTATAATTATAAAAACATAACTTACATAAACTGCCAAATGTAACAAGTAAATTGAACTGTTTGAAAAAAATCATTCTGTCTACTTCGAAATAATAATGCACTTTGTAATACTTTCGCGCGTTTCCTAACCTTAAATAAAATTCCGATCAAAAAAGTTACGATATAACTAACAACTAGGGATGTTCTAATGAAAGTCTGTGTCGCTTGTAAGAATTACACATATTTCTTCATTTTCGTTTTATAATTATACTATATACGCAAAGCCTGGTCAAGAGTCAGTTTATTCTTAACTAATCAACTGATGGCTGGTGTGAAATTCCGGTAAAAATATAAAATGCATATGGCAAAAGATGAAGCTTGACATCAAAAAAGAACTCAATTTTTAGGCAAAAAAATATTCTCTTTTTTCATGTTAACTTCTTGCTTAACGTATAATAGCAGTCTTCAATCGATAACCCAATTTAACATAAGGGACATCACTATTTCATATACCGGACACAAAGTTACTAATAGTGCGTAACATGGTATCGAATAAAGTTTATAAACAGTTGGAGGCTAAAGTGAACAAGGAATACGTTAACTTAAAATATTATTACTTAAGCACGTTCGCTTCGATGTAAATAATAACGATTTTGTGCCATGTTCCATCACTTCATAACATTTAAAACTTAACGAATTACAATTTATTTAAATATCGTGCAAAAACATCGATTTTGAATGTTATAAAATCGATACAATTATCCTTCCTTATTTTGACAGAATTAAGACATGACAGCTGACAACGCATCTAACCTAAAATTACTATTAAATAAAAACATAAGGATTTAAAATAAATAAAAATGTTGTTTCTACATTTAATAAGCGTCTTATCGTATATTGTACAAGCGGTATTTGTAACTATGGCTGTCGGTAAGTATACGCGAATGTTAAGCCCAGTCAGAAATATATCGTACTCTTTATAAAACATTACGTCTTATTTTAGCGGCTGGACTTTATTATTTGGCTGAATTAATTGAGGAGTATTCAGTAACAGCAAAATATGTGATATCCTGGTTAATTTTTGTAAGTATTTTATCATCTTACTCCTTACTAAAATAAATGCAAATGTTTAGATGGATGGATGTTTGTTTGAAGATATCTTCGGAACGGCTTAAGTTATATGGCTAAAATTTGGCATAGATGTAGAATATTATGTAGAAGAACACACAGACTACTTAAATTTTTTTTTAATTTCGCAGGGATGGAATCGCGGGTGATACTACAATATTGAGCGATATTTTTTTTAATTTTCAGGGTACCGCAGCCATTCATCTGGGTTTAATAATATTCGAGGATTTACCGTTACATTTAAATATGTTGGGTTTGCTACAGCAGTGTATACATTGGGCTATGATTCGAGATTTTCCCGTTGTTAAAATGACAAGTTTTACTCTATTTGCTTCTGTGATCAATTTGGTTACACACCATTATTTTGCCTTTAAGTATTTTGCAATTGCATATCTTCCTTTTTCAGAGGTAAGTCAATTTGAATTTCATTTTTATGATATTTGCAATGACAGTGCAAATCTGCCATGTTTTTTATGTAGCCACTATGGTGACCACTATTTTTATTTGACTAATAAACTAGCTAGATAATATTATGTAGTGCAAATACTTCCAACTTTTGCTTAACCTAAGTTAGATGACTAGGTCACAGTGAATACTGGTCCAGAGTGTCACTTCACACATATATTTAAATTACTTCACAAATGTGCAGCATCATGATGTTTTTTCCTTGTATGTAGCTTTGAAATTCGAACATTAGTATATGGTAGGGTTTGAACCATGAACATATAGATTAAAAGTACATTTTTTTTATATCATAAGGTGGCAAACAAGCGAGTGGCCACCTGAAATAGCTGAAATAGCATAGTGACTGTTGCCCATAGACATACGCAATCGCATATGCATTGCCTACCTTTAATCGACGAAGGAGAGGATGCACAGAAAGAAAATACCTTCCCTTTCCATGCATCCTCCCATCCAGAAAGTCCACTTCCACTTCCTTTCCTTATAAGAAAAAGGGTGGGAAGGGAAAGAGGACTAAATTAGGCCTCCAGGCCACACACTCATCAGACTGTAGTTGGAATTGCTTCCACTTGACGCCTGTCTTCTGTGTGGTTGTGGTATTTCACCGGGCGAGCCGGGCCAATTCGTGCGAAGATGTTAAAGCGGGCTCTACCACTGTTAAAACACTACATTGCTAAACTACTGTGCCAATGATATTCTTTTTTTTTTTAATTTTCAGGTGTTGGGTTATTTCACAATATGTCTATGGCTTGTTCCCTTGACATTATTTGTATCTCTGACTGCAAATGATTATGTACTACCAACACGGGGTGAGAAGCAACCTTTACTAGGTAAATATGTTTTTAAACACATTAAGAGACTATGGCGAGAAGAACTGTTCTAAGTAGGTGGCTGTAGTCAAGAGTGGGCTGTCATCTGTAAATCATCCAAAATGTCGTTGTGGCAATTAAATTTAAATTTCTTTGTAATTTTCGAGTGGAATTTGATGGAAGTCACTGCAATGAGTACTGCATAGTCTCCAAGCCCAATGTTTCATACTAAACTTACTGCTTTTCTGTTTAAATCAGTCTTTCCCAAAGTGGTTGATAACGCCCCCTTGTGTGTCTCAAGTTGCGGGTTATAGTAAAAGTTTCCTTTACAATTCTCCGTTAATATACATATATAGGTCACAATAATTAATTAATTTGAAGTTATAGTGGTTTTTAAATATGTGAAAATATGGGGGCGCTAAAAAAATATTTATTCTCAAAGTGGGCAGTAGACAAAATAAGTTTGGGAATCGCTGGTTTAAAGTATATGTTACGTTTTAATTTGTTTTTTTTTTAATTCCAGGTGATAATAATGTCGTCACAGATTATCTATCGCGTAAGGCGAATACATACAGCCTCCTGTCATTTTTCAGTTACGCCAAAGATTCAATACTACCTCAAAGAAGTAAAAAAGCATTTTGAATATTTTCACAATTTCAATAGTTTCATAAGTTGTATTCCACTGACTCGCTTTACGAGTTTTAATAAATATCGTAGCAATAAATGTCAGATTTGACATAAGCACTGACAGATGACATTTCAAAGTACGTCAAGCTGTTAAATAAAAAGGCAAAGGTTAACACCGTACAGCCAAAGTCTTAATGTTATTTAATTAGATATTGTAGACAATTTAGATTTTGTAATTTAAGATGGCTAGCAAATTATATAGCTTTAGATAAATATTAACTTTTATTAGTTTGCTTTAAAAGACATAACAAAGATTGAACTGATTTAATCCAATTTTGATACACTGCCTTGCCAAGTAGGCTATGAAATTAGACTCATCTATATGTCAATGTAAAAAAAAAATTATTTATAGATTGATTTGTATAACTTAAGGAAAAGACGTTTTATTAATTTTGTAAATATTTAATGTGTTGTTTTTTTATGCTTTGTGATAAAGAAATAAATTATTAAGAAAAAAAACTTTTTTTTATTTTTTATTTGATGAATTAAAACAAAAAATAATCCTCGACATTAAAATACAACCTTTGTAAAATTAATTTAACTATTCTTAAGAATAAACAACACTAGAAAATAATCTTACTAATATTATAAATGCGAATGTTTAGATGGATGTTAGATCACCAGAACAGCTGCACGGATCGCGCTGAAAGGCATAGATTTAGAACATAGTTTGGAAGAACACAGACTACTAATTTTTTTAATCTATAATTTTTTTTTTAATTATAAATGAAAAAAGAGGCTTTTTTTTGCGTCGATGAAGGCTGATGTGTTAACGACATGAATTATTTTTAACTATAGAATGATGTACTCTCAAATGTAATCTCAAACTGGAACCTTGAACAAACGCTTTCCCACATTCTTTACAAACGCATCTTTTATCATTCGTATGTATTCTCGTATGTAACAATAAACCCTTTTTTCTTCGGAATGTTTTCTTGCAAAATTCACATTCATATGCCCTTACATCGAAATGTTTTAGTCTGTGGTCTTGCAAAATACTATTCGTAAACGATTTATAATCACATAAATCACAATTGAATGATCTCTCTCTGACATGGACTCGTAAATTGTGCCTAACTAACGCACTTTTACTTAAATACACTTTGTTGCATAACTCGCATGGTATTTGGTAAGTTTTTTCATCATGAACGATGGCAAGATGACGTTTCTTCAAATATCTACTGCGCAACACTTCCGGACATTTCGGGCATTGTAGAATAAAAGTTTTGTGAACTGTTGTCAGATGTTTATCCAATGTATGAGCGGACATAAATCTTTTATCACATTCAACACATTTGAAAATATCTTCGTCCGTATGAGCTTTTCTAATATGATTAGCTAAATTCTTTTTCAAAAGGAATGTTTGACTACAATATTCACAGACGTAGCTATTATTGTTATGGTTTTTGTGAACGTGACGTAAAAGTGGTCCAAAGAATCGAAAACTTTGACCACAGACAATACAAGCCATATCATCATCGGATAATTTGAAAGAAGTGAAATGTTTTGTCACATCACTATCGTAATTAACATCATGAGCATAGACAATATGCTGTAGAAAATCATCAAAACTTTTTATCGTTTTTGGACATTTTTTACAAGCTATTTCCGATATGTCTAACTTTACACCGTTTTTTCTTATTAAATTTCTTATATATTTACTGCGTATAAAACCAGCATGTTCTTCTTTTGTGTGCTGTTTCAATTTTTTGCTCTCCGAGAAATGTTCTGGGCAGTAAAAACACCAATATTTATTATAAAACCATCTAAACGGAATTATTGTTGAATATTCTCGAATTAAATTTATCAATATGACCGATCCCTCCTTCCATTTTCTATATTGAATCATACGTTCACTCTTTATTGCCGATGAAAGTTTGTCTGGAATAAAACAAATTTTTTAGGTTATATTTTTTTATTATAGAAATTTAAATATAAGTTTGCTTAAAATTATAACATAATATATATAATATTCTTCTATAGTTCACAAGCTAAAAGAAAACGAATTATAAAGTAAAATGAATTAAATAAAATTATGCGTCAAAATGCATGATGTCACAGCTAAAAATTAAAAAAAAAAATATGTCAGAATTCGTACTTTTGTAGTGATTTTTGACATTTGTAATTTAAAGTGTACATTTTTATTCGAAACTTTATAAAATGTGTAACTTAAAACTAAATTTATATCATTTTAGCTGTAACATAATACTTATAAATTCTGTTTATTTTAAGGATCCAAACCATAGACATATAACTTATAGATAGATTGTTCCATACAATGACGTTTAATCGCTTGATTTAACAAATCTTTATGTATTTTATATTACATCAGTAAGGCCTAAAAAATACTTTTTCGCGTCACTTTTGTGACCCAGATTAGTTTAATATCTATTTTTATATGTATGATGCAAAATACTTTCGTATAATCGTAAATAAATAAAAAAAAACTTAATTAAAAAATCTGTGATCAACATAGCTGTTGTCAAATATATAATTACGTACCGTTATATGTTTCGTGTCGATTAGAAGTTGAAACTTAATAAACACGTCAAATTTAAAACATGGCGGCCATTACGATATTTGATTTTATGTAATATTGTTAAATAAGTATAGGTAATGAGAAATTTCAATAATAAAAAATTGTTTCAAAAGAAATATTTTGCAATTTTATTTAGTATAAAATGTACTTTGTTTATAATTTATGATTTGGATTGGAATCCGATATCTAAAGCTACAAATTATAGCAAGGCTGTTCTAATTTGGAAGTTTACGTTTTTGTTTAATAAGGTGGCAAACGAGCGAGCGGCCTGAAATCGCTGAAATAGCGAAGTGACCGTTGCCCATAGACATACGCAATTGCATATGCGTTACCTTTAATCGTCGGAGGAGAGGTTGCACAGCAAGAAAATATTTTTTCTTTCCATGCATCCTCTCATCCGGAAAGTCCACTTCCACTTCCTATCCTTTCCTTATAAGAAAAAGGGTACGTAAGTATAAATTATATTTTTATTTTTTACTATCCCTTACTATAGAGTGATGGACTCGTAAATGTATTTTCAAACTTGTACTTTGTACAAATGCTTTTCCGCATTCGGAACAAATATATCTTTTATCATTTGTATGAATTCTTCTATGAAATTCTAGAGTCTTCTTTCTTTGGAAGCTTTTCTTGCAGAATTCACATTCGAATGGCCTTGAATCGTCATGTTTCACCATGTGACGCTGCAAATTTTCTTTATCAAACGATTTATAACCACATATCTCACATGTAAATGTTTTTTCTCTAACATGGACCCTTAAATTGTGCGTAACAAGTGCACTTTTCGCCAAATACACTCTTGGACATAACTCGCAAGCGAATTGTGAACTTTTCTCGTCATGGACAAGCGCTAGATGGCGCTTCTTCAAATATCTACTACCAAGAACCTCTGGGCATTTCGGACATTTTAACCTATCAGTTTTATGTTCTTTTAAAGAGTGCTGATTCAAAGCGTAATTACTTGTGAACGTTTTACCGCATTTCTCACATTTACGACCGTTGTAACTGCCGTGTACATTTTTCATGTGACTCTGAACATTTACTTTAGCAATGAAACTTTGTCCGCAAATTTCGCATAAAAATTTATTTGCTATTTTATTATGATGTTTGTGTACATGCGTTAAAAGTGGTCCGAAAAAACGAAACTGCAGACCGCATTCGATACATCCCATAGCATCGTCTGATAATTTAAAACAAAAGAAATGTTTGATAACGGTTTTATCGTAAACTACTTCATGTGCTTTTGTCGCGTGTTCTAAAAACTCTTCGAAATTCTTTATAATCTTTGGACATTTTTTGCAAGCTATATCCGATACGTCTAATTTGACTCTTGCATTTTTTAATAAACTTCTCAATACATTATAACTATTTAAATCGGCGTGTTCTTCTTTTGTGTGTTCTTTTAATTGTTTGCTGTCGACAAAATCATAACAACAATAAAAGCACATATATTTATTTGAATACCATCTAAATGGCATTATTGTGGAATTTTCTAGAATTACCACGAGCAGTTTGGCCATTTCGTCCTTTTTTATTCTTGTCTCCAGACGATCGTCGAGCTTTGACAAGTACATAATTTCTGTAATGAAAGAAATTCTCCATTTATTTACTCTTCTATATATTTTTTTAATTTTGCTTTATATTTAATAAGAAGTTTATACGAATTTTTATGATATATCTTAAAGTAAAGATATACTTAAACTAAATTTAATATTGAATCATTAAGTTTCACAGATAATAAAGAAATTGCCGCGCCATTTTCTGATATAAAAAATACGAAAGTTGAGCGTTCCAAGTTTTTACCTAAGTTTTTTTTTAATCTGTACTTTTTATTTGACATTAGTGACATAACCAGTACGTGTAAATACTTTTATGAAACAAAAACTAATCCGGATTTACGAATGTCTTTTCTTATACATATTTAATAAAAATGGTTACGATATAAATTTTTAAATTAAAATTTAATTTCAAATTAATTTTTCTCATGCATATTAATACAGTGTTGTTTCATTGTTTTTTTAGTCTTGAACGTTTTATCGCAAAATGTGCATTTGACATTTCTGGCAGAACTATGTTTGAGCATGTGCTTTTTTAAATCATCTCCACCGAATAACTTCCAACCGCAGATGCTACATTCAGCATTTTTTTCTTTTAAATGAGTTTGTCTTATGTGCCTTAACATCGTTGTTTTAAAAACAAAAGTTTTCGAACAATATTCACAAGAGAAACAAGCACGACTACCATGAAGTATCATATGTCTGGCCAGTTTATAAGTAGATGGTAACGCTGCGCTACAAAGACGACAATTATATTTTTTACCGTGATAATTTTGCATGTGCGTCCTCAATTTCGTATGAGGTAAATATAAATCACATTGCGAACATTTAACGCCATTACTATGTTTAGATTTGATATGACATTGTAGATAATAAATACTACTGTAATTCCGACCACAGATATCACAAAGATATTCTGTCTGTGTATGCTCTTTACTTGTATGAACGAACATTTGGCTGAATGTTAAAAAACCTTTCTCACATAGCACACAATAAATATGAACGTCATCGAATTTATAACTATCGATACAATTAATATGCGTATTGTAATCGATTTTATGCATATCGATTAAATGATCGATTAATTTATGCACTTCATTGAAATTGTCTCCGCATAATGTGCATTCCATATTCGTGACGTCAACATTAACCACAGACAAGAAATAATTATTTATTGCATTATTTAAATCTTTTTTTATATCGTGTAT